TTTTTTTTTTTTTTATTTTCTTTTCTCTCTCTTTTTTTTTTTTTTTTTTTTTTATACGTAAATCTTACATCCTAAATATGTAGGCGCTGCTAAAAATCGGAGAAATCTCTATTCCGGCATTTCCGGTCGTGCACTACAGATATATTTCCTTTTCCTTTTCGTTCTCATATTTCCATTGAATATATATATTTCGTTTCGTTTTCCCTCCTTTTTATAGAATCCACCTTCGTTGATCGGATGCATCGTGCAATTTTTCCTCTTAAAAGTAAAAAAAAAAAAAAAAAAAACGAACTGTTCGAACGAAGTAACTCATGGTTGCAAGAAGTCGATCGAAAGGAGCTAATATAATTTCACAATTGACGGAATATCTTCTGATAAATGTACGATAGAAACGAAAATCTCACGAGCGATTTATCGAATTATTGATTACTACTTCGACATCTCTTCGTTCCTTCTTCCATCAAGATGAGGTCGAAGTTTCGAAGTTTTCTTCTTTTTTTTTCTTTTTTTTCCCCGATGCATTCTGCGATTCCTTCTCTCCCGTATGTTCGTTCCAGTGTATCCGTTCTTATATACAAGTTAATCGGAAGTTAGGCAGTGATGGAAAATGATTAAATATATTATTTCGAATCGTCATCGCCCGTTCCACGGACGCTTTGGTCCAATCATCGCATTAAAACGTTTAATTACAATAAAACTCGGTGTCCTGATCGTTTTGAACGGAAAATCAACGCGTATCTTGTTTCCATCTTTTTCTTCTTCCTCCTCCTTGCGTCTTTCTCCTTATCTCTCTTATCCCCGCCCCTCTTCTCCCCCATCTATCCCTCTGCTTCTCTCTCTTTAGCAGCACGCAGTCTTTACGAGCTAAATTCTTACCACGATTAATAATTAATTCACTTACCTGTCACAAAAATAAATACTTTTATCATATCGCTTAATCTACTCTCTTACGTACTAGAAACAACGAGCCCCGCCCAACATGGCCAGCTGCTCCAGCGGGGTTTACGATATCTCTTTTATGTATATATATATGTATATATATATATACTTTTTACGTCTCACGTTAATTATTTCTCTCTTTTTTCTTTTTGTTTTTTCCTTTATTCTCTTCCACGGCTAATGTTTGCCGTGCGTTTAAACGTTTAAACACGTCGATTTCTTCGTGGATATTTATTATTATACGTTAAAAATCGTACTCGAGAATTTACCGCTACCCGTTTTTTTTTTCTTTTTTTCTTTTTTTCTTTTTTTTGTCTGGGAAGAACACCTTGCGACGAATACGCGATCTATCTCCGCTCGCTATATAGCGCCTCGTTGCGCAACTAAAAATCTATCTCGCAATCGCTTCGAGATACGAACGAATAATGTAATGGAAATTGGAACTATTTTATCGGCAAGCTAAAAATTCGTGCGTTTTTTTTTCTTCCGCAACTCCATTGGAATTAAGAAGATTTAATCGAAAATAATATTATTGATATGGGAAATTGAATCGAAAAGAAGGAAGGCCGAACGATGATTTTCTTTATGATAACGTAAACAAATGTTGTTCGTATTAAAACAAAAAAAAAAAAAAAAGAAAGTAATTTGCTAATTTCTACAGTGAAATTCAACAGTTCCAATTAAAAATGCTCTAAAGAATAAGTCTCGTAAAAAAATATGGTTGTCGTAGAAAACTAGACTACATCGTTATTGTTATTTTAAATCCAGTGTTAAGAATCCATTGTTTGTTGCAACACCGTGCATGCGTTACTCTCGATATATAAAAAACATGAGCCAAAGTGAAATTGTTTTTTTCTCTTTTTCTCTTTCTCTCCCCTCTCTCTCTTTCTCTTTTCTACATCTTCCTCCTTTTTTTCTTTCTTTCTTTCTTTCTTCTCTTGCTTTTTCCTTTGAAATATTACTATTTGTAAGTGAAGACAAAAGAAATAAAAATGAATGTAAGCCAAGCTCAATTATTATTCTCGCACAGATTGATTCTCAGAATCTTGCTTCTCACGACGTCTTCCCTATTGGATCTATATCTTTGGCTCGAACAGAGTGCCACAATTTCACAATTTTACGTCCAATGGCACGCTTTCTTTCTTTGCGTTTCAAAAAAATTCCCCTTTTTAAAACACACTGTGCTACACGAATACGATCCATTTTCTTACATTAAATTAACTTTTATTTATTTTTTTTCATCTTTCACGATTTTCAATATTCTTTCTTTTTTCTCTCTCTTTTGTTAACCTGCTCTCTCTCTCTCTCTCTCTTTTTTCAATATATATATATATATATATATCTATTCGTTCATCGTTTGTAGCGCGCGTTCCTTCCTAAAAAAAAAATGAACTACCGGAAACCAGTTCGTAACAAGTTCTGTTCGTAACTATCTAACAATCGTTTAATATCGTTCTCTCTGTTTGATATCTAATCTTTTTTTATATATATATATATATACATATGTGTATATATATATATACTTTGCTTCTATCGTCTTTCATCTAATCCTTTCTTACCTAACGAAACGCATACTGGATTAATTAGCTAGAACTACGAATCTCGAAAGGGCAATCTCTATTTTCTTAGGACCGATTTCGTCCGATCTTCCGGTAGATGTCGTGTTTCGCGTATCGTTTGACGTTAAAGTTTAACGACGACGGATAAAGAGGGATTTTTTTCATCCGCGAAAAAACGACGTCGTGTCGGATCATTTAAACGCGACTCCCTTCTTACAAACCGTGTTTTCGAACAAGTTGCGGGAAAAAAAATCTACGTCGTTTTTTGTTTTTTTTTTTTTTTTTTTTTTTCCTCGAGATCTTGCTGTCTTTCGATCCCGAAAATTCGCGCACGAGCATAGACAGACTCTCGGGAGGGGGAGTCTAATCTCTCGGCTCGCTCGAGATCTTCGCTGACACACCTTGAGGAAATTCTTTCCCCTCTGGTCCAGGAGGTAAGGTACAACGTTGAGCGATTCATACATATATTTCCAAATCGACAGAATGTTTTCAGGTCCATGGCATGTATCGTGGTCGTGCCGAGTGTCAGAAGGCCGTGTCCAGAGCCGCCATACTCGTGGAAATATCTGGATCGGCACGACATGCTTCCAGAAATTCCGAGAGCGTCACCACTCCATCCTTGTTCCCGTCCATCTTCTGCAACAATTGCAAATATATATATATATATTTTTTTTTTCGAATTTACGAACGTGAAAGTAAAATAAAGAAAATTATTTTGAAATAAATAATATAATAATTAATAGATAATAAAAATTAATCTCGAAGAATGGTTTCAAATATATTTATATATTTACGTTCATAGAACGAGCTAGTTCGTCATTATAATCTCGCATAATTATAGAAACGCATCTAGGCAATAATAACGATTCGTGAATAGCCCATTCAAATCGGGCTTATCAGATACCCTTTCATTATCGAGTAGTTCTAATTACTGTGGATTCATTCACGTAAATTTATCGGTTTCGACCAGTCCTTTAGAGTGATAATATGGTCGAAAGTCGACTATCGTATTGGCGCGATATACAAATGCTTAGGCGTACACGTGTACACGTGAGTACGCCTATATATGTCAAAATTTAGTTTGGAGTAGTATGGTATCGAATCAATCCTCCAACCAATCCTCCATCTAAGCCATTATCGATAATCAACGATTCCATTTATAGCATTTGAAATTCTGATGTAAATTTACTAGATATATTTACATCAGAAAATTAAATACTTTTTGATATTACGACAAAATTACGATAGAATTTTATTTTATTGATATATTTAAATTTACCAGATATATATTTGGAAAATATTATAACATTTCTCGATAGTATGATTAAAATTATGATAGAATTTTATTATTTTGGCAATTGAAAGGAATTGAAAAGTATTCAGGAAATGTGCGAACAACTGGTTTTAATTTTATTTTTACACGATTGAAACCGCTTGACACTGTTTTCAAATACAACACGGAGTCCGTTTGATCATGTATCATGATCTGTCTGACTGTGCATAAAGAGCTGTTGAAAGTTCTGGCAATTGATTTTTAGAAACAATGAATCTGATTCGGGCGCGACCCCTTCTTTACGACCCGTACGTTGTTCCATTTTAATTAAAAGTCTATGCGAGATAACGAACCGTGTGTGGCGTGGTTTGCATCAGTTACATCCCTACTTTCTCCCTGATTAATTAGCATCGATTGAATTCACCACGTTCCAAGGCGTCTTCGCCATTTGTTCAAATTCTCTGTCGCGTGTGAGAAGAGGGGGAAAAAAAAAAAAAAAAAAAAAAAAAAAAAAAAAAAAAAAAAAAAAAAAGAAAGAACCGAAGCGACAGAGGTGTCAGAATTTTTAACGATGCCGACATCCATACTTGTTTTTACGCGCGCTTTCCTTTTAAAATTGTCGATTTGAAAATTTAATTTAAAAAAATGTTGACTCTCTTTTCGTATAAATATATAACTTACTGACAACTTTAAAGCGTAAAGATTGAGCTTAAAGTTGGAAAATGCATTAAAGCGAGTAGCTAGTATTATAAAGTTCAAGCATCTTTTATAAAGAAAAGAAGAATATTTCGTTCATTTTTCATACGGAAGAAAAAAGCTAAATCTTAAACTTTGACAAAAGTTTCGAAGTAGAAAGGAACTTGTACTAATTTTAACAATTTATATCAGTATTTTTATAATACGTGTCAAGTTTAAAAATTATTTTATAATAATAAAATGCAATTGTGATTTTTAAAATATGTCTTATTATCACGAATTTAAAAGTTAAGCGAAAGTAGAAATTTTCTCGTGCTTTAAAAAATTTGACAGAGGGATATAAATTATTCAAATCTTCAACAGTTTGTTACATATATTATTAATTCAAAGATATTGAAAATGAAGAGAATATCGAAATTAATATAACGTATTCTTATTATATATGCTTCATTTTTTCGACATGATTTTCGACATGTTCGAAAATATTCGAATTTTGTTCGATCTCGTGAATATTCTTATCCAATTATATATTTGAACTCATTATTATTAAAATATAATATAAAAATAATTTTCAATGATAAAAGAATATTTTAGAATTTTTTATCTTTTTTTTTTTTCGTATTTTTCGCTATTTTCTTATTCGCTTATATTCTTTCCCAAGCTGTTTTAACTTACAATTACCACAATCACCAAGGAAATGGGAGCATCATTGCAAAATATTTTACGATCGTAATGGGACAAAAACCGTGCTAAAAGATCGTTTAGGTCTCGAAAAAGTTGTTCCTTTTTATGCCACGTTCTTCTTTTACGTTTTTCGTATCCTGTATCGATCGATTTTCAACTTTTCAGCGCGGTCACTCGCAAAATGACGAAATTATGCTAAAAATCTAATCATTTTGCATTAGAAAGAAAGATTTTTAAGATTCATCCATATTAATTTCATGTATTTCAACTTGTGTATCGAGTTATCATATAAGTTCTATTACAAGTTCTATTAAAGTCTTTCGATCATGCACATATTTATCAAATTACATAGAATATTTTTTTTATTATAAATCACTGTTGTATATATGTAATTTATATTAACATTTGTAATCAAGATAACGCGATACTTTACTCGAGCATATCGAATAATAAAATATACATCTATCAATATTGGATACCAACAAAGGGAAGTAATCTATAGAAACGAAATATCAACCACTCGAAACTTTATATTCTTCCTTTATACCCACAAGGAGCAAACTTTAAATTGGCAATTCCATGTTTCTATCTATATATATATATTTTCGTTCGAAAATAAAAGAATTTACACTTCTTTCTCAAGGAAGAAAAATTTAAGTTATAAAAGTTAAGTATTGATACGTAAGAATATTCCTGAATATCTAATCTCGATCCATCTGTGATATTCGAAGAATCTCGAACGCTCGAAGATTGCACGCGTTACCTCATGTTTTGCAACGAGACTTCGAGAATCCGTTGCCGTACCCATTTCCTCCGTCACTCATCTTGTGGCTCTCGTTTGTTAGTCTCTCAGCTCTTTGTGCATATATGTACTCACATGAGCATGCACAAGTAAACGTGAAAACCATGAGCAAACCGTTTACCCTCGGATTTCGTACTAGCTTTAGACCAACGAGTCTCTCCGCTCCTTTGATGAAACTTTAACATTTGTTGTGCGTAAATTTGACCAGGTACGGTAAACATTTCGAAAAGAAGATTAGGACTTATAGCTGCACGGCAAATAACCTACCGTTTTATCTAACCGTGCACTAATTCGTCTACTTACCTGTGGTGATTAAAATCTGTGTGTGCATTACGTAGGCTAGATTTCATTACACGCAAGGTGTGCGATCTCTTATCGTTGTAAGAGTATCATCATAGAGAAGAGTAAATATAGCTAGTGGTTTCGCGCGGAAACGGAAGAAGCAACGGAGAATTAAAACATAAATTTACTTTATTGTATTATACTTGAATTTACATGGTTGTTTTTTTCATAGTCTGTGCTCTGGATGGATTTATTTATTTCATTGTTTATTATCCCATAGTTTTCAATTACTGAATATTTGCATTTCTAAATTTCTGTTTAGCACGCCTCAATTTGAATATTTGCATCAGTTTCAGAATCAATGAAGTTATCATCATCATCAAGTATCAGATCAATAATTAACATAATTTTTAATCTTTCAATATCCTTTTTCCATTCATCGTTTAATCTAAACTCAAAGTTTTTTTTAATATTTGCATTTCTAAATTTCTGTTTAGCATGCCTCAATTTGAATATTTGCAGAATAGTTTCAGAATTAATGAAGTTATGATCAATAGTTAACATAATTTTTAATCTTTCAATATCCTCTTTCCATTCATCATTTAATCTAAACCCAAAGTTTTAGCATAGAAAAATTATCATAGGATTTTCTTCTTACATAGTTGTTTTTTCATAGCCTGTGCTCTAAATGGATTTATTTCATTGCTATTATCCCATACTTTTCAACTACTAATATTTGCATTTCTAAATTTCTGTTTAGCATGTCTCAATTTGAATATTTGCATCAGTTTCAGAATTAATGAAGTTATGATCAATAGTTAACATAATTTTTAATCTTTCAATATCCTTTTTCCATTCATCATTTAATCTAAACTCAAAGTTTTAGCATAGAAAAATTATCATAGGATTTTCTTCTTACATAGTTGTTTTTTCATAGTCTGTGCTCTAAATGGATTTATTTCATTGCTATTATCCCATACTTTTCAACTACTAATATTTGCATTTCTAAATTTCTGTTTAGCATGCCTCAATTTGAATATTTGCAGAATAGTTTTAGAATTAATGAAGTTATGATCAATAGTTAACATAATTTTTAATCTTTCAATATCCTCTTTCCATTCATTATCTAATCTAAACTCAAAGTTTTGGCACACTCTATGCTCTGGAAATGGATTTATTTCATTGCTATTGCTATTTAACTCATACTTTTCAATTATCGAATATTTGTATTTCTATATTTCTATTTAGCATCTTTCCAACAGACCTCAGTTTCAGATTTAATGAATTTATGATCAATAGTTAACATAATTTTTAATCTTCCAATATCTCTTCCATTTATCATCTATCATCCATTTATCAATCTCAAAGTAAAAAAAAGTTATCATTATCATTAATTCAAACTTTCTTCTTCATATCAGAATACACCTTGCACAAAATGAAACGAAATCTATACATGTAACGAAACATCTTTGAAATATATTTCAAACTCTGGATAATTCACGTTCGTTAAAACGTTCGTTATTTCTTCTAATTCTCTTAGTCTTTTTTTCTTCCTTCTTTTTTTTTTTTTTTTTTTGAAAAATAGAGCTCAAATTGAGTACGTCCTAAGATGGGAGATAACAAGAACTCGTTTACGGTAAATCGAAGCCGGTGGGAACGATGATGGCGCAAATTGGCTCCGCGAAACGAATCGTCTTTTATTCGACGATAGAAAAAAAAAAAAAAAGAAAAAAAAAAGATGAAGGGAGAAAGGAGTATGAGCGCATCATCGCAGACATTGTCATTCGCAGGTAACAATGTGACAGCCGGTAAAAAGAAAGACTTTTTCTTGCATCGCTGAAGCCGAGCCCCTGTGCTTTACGAGCGCTCGTTTTCCTTCGTCAAAGTGAACGGACAAGTCAAAGCCCGTAGAAACATACCCTCTATTGTCTCTACGTTCCGTTACGAAAGATCATTGAGCAGTTTATCGATTCTCCAACTGTCGCCATATACTGCTTGCCACTTCAATTCGACAAGCAATAATTGTCAGTTGTACTCGGTTGATATCGGTGTTCCATCGGTATTATGAACTTAGGCAGTACTTTATCGAAAAAAATATTATATTATATTTGAATCTCGTTGCCGTTGTCGTTGCTAAGAAATGTAGGAGGACGTATATCCTTTATTCCAATTTTTAACATATTCTCCGAGCAAAAAGACGGAGGGATAATAAAAAGAACTTATGCATGTAATAACCTCGCGATTCTTCTATACATGCATTTCTCGGATAATGCAGCTGGTGCTTTGCCAGCTGGTCTTTGGAACGAATATGCTTTCGTTGTTCATTGAACATAGAAGGATATATTGCGTGTATAGCAATGTCATATGGAGAAAATTACGGAAGTATCGTGCATACACAGATCTATTTAAAAGCTGACCATATTTTACGTGTTATAACATTTTTAAACATTCCGATACTTTTTTTAAACTCTGCAAGAGAAATTATCGATTCAAACTTTGAATTTTGAAAGGAAAGTCCACGTATAAATGTTAATATTGGATATCGACGCGAGTGAAAATAGGGGGAAAAAGAGGAAAAAAAAAAAAAAAGAAAATCATACCTGAAACATTCGATCTACTTTCTCACGTACACCCTCGTGATCCAAATTCGGATCGGCAAACTTGCCCATCAGCTCGTACACAGCTGTCACGATGTCCGTCATTTCTTCCCTCGTGATGCAACCGTCGCCATTGATGTCGTAAAGAGAAAATGTCCAGCGCAGTTTCTCATCGATGGAACCACGAGACAGTATGCTGAGACCAGTAACGAAGTCCTGCAACATCGAAATAAAATTCATCTTTTCGATATTACGTGCCACGCAATATATATATATATATATATATACTTGTTATTTTCTAAAATTGTCCATTTTGATTCGGTGTTTTACGATCATTTCAATATCTTTCGTGTATAATTTTATATAAAATTATCAATTATTAGATTTAAAGATTTCATTTTTACAATTTTTCTTTTTAAATTTTTAATTTATTTTTGAAAAATCGAAACGACATTGGAAAATAAAAAACATCCTGTCCTCTTTCGCGTCGTAAAATTTTATCCTCCATACGAATGGTTATATCGATGTTCTCGCAAATATGCGCCGAATTATCCTCGTTTTACCCAATTGTTTTTCACATAAACCTAGTTAAGAGAATCGTCTCCTTATACGTCAGATTGTAAAAATTGTTTTCTTCGGATAATTCGAATTATTTTCCATATCACTCCGTTATTACAGTTATATCGCGCATTTTTCCAACACGAATCGAATCGAGCACAATCGATGATTAAATTACATTCTCGCGCAGACAGACAGGCAGGCATCATCTGCCGCTCCTCCAACACCGCGAACAGACGCAGCAGAGGAGAATCCATTAACGCAACGTCGCGATACTTTCGAAACTTTCATTCTTGTTCACGCGAGCGAGAGATTAAATCGAGAGGGCACGCGAGAAGCTCGTTAAAAACTCGCTTATCTATTCCAACGACAAATAACCATCCTTGAATAAATTATTCTTACGAGTTATCAAAATTAAATTAAAAAAAATAAAATTAGCAAAAAAACTCGTACCAAGGAAATTCCGATTCGTTCTTAAATGCATAAAAAGATGTCGCTCGATGTAAAATATCGCGAAAATCGATCGAGCCAACTATTTCCAATCCAACAATTATTATTATGAAAATTATTCCAGCGGCAGAACTACTTCCAGCAGCTACGAGCGAGGAGGAGAACACATTCGAGATTTCGTCTCTGTGCTCGTCTTGTAGCGCTCGACTTCACGCTCGACTTTACACCGGAACAGAACGATTGCAGCGACGCTGTCTCCGTTTCCTTCTCCTGCCTCTCTCCACGTACGCGCACAATTTCACTGCACAGGGACAATTTAGCATCGACGATGCGTGTTTTAAAAGGTAACGGCCTCGTGCTTGGATATTGTGATCACGCGTCACGTGAGAAGAGAAAAGTGCGTTGTATCCGTAGTAAGCACGGTTGAATAAAATGTTGATGCAAACGATGAATATAGTCTGTCGAGATGTTAATTCATCTTTTCTATTGGTGTCATTTTTTTATCCGGTGGTGTGCAGGCTCGACGCCGATTCGACGAAGGTCGTAAAATATTTTGTTGGGCCATGCTCGAGGCGCATTGTCAGCGGTTATTTTTTCGGGGATTTAAAAGGATACGCAACGTGGAATTCAACGTTCTCACGATATTTTTTAAAAAAACTTATTCAATGCAAATTATTCTATCAATTTTTATCGGTATAATAGTTTTTAATTTAGATTCGACTAAACGTTAAAAAATATATATATTTTGTAAATTTTTAACAGGGAACGTCGTCGAAATTTCACCCGAATTTCGCTACAATGATTTTCGTAATAATTTCATAAAAAAAAAAAAAAAGAAATGTATTTTTCGATCAAAATAAAATTGATTAATTAAAATGTATTTACGTGCCATTCTGATTCAATTTATTAATAATATATGAATTTTTTTATAACGAATTTATTTTTACGATAAATTAACGTTTTATCTCGTCTCCCTGCTGTAGGAAATTCGATATTTTTTTTCGGTCACGGAGGAATCTTTTAATTAAAAACAAATTCCTTTTAACGAACTACTAACCCTTGGTATAAATGGCTTAAAAGGACGAGTGCGTATCGTGATTAGAGAGAGAGAGAGAGAGAGAGAAAGGTTTTTCTCTGAATTATAAAAGGATTCACCAGATTACAGTATGCGTTGTTAATTTTTTTTATGGATCAAAAAGATGTGTTCTGTTAACGCGGCAAATTTCATTGTTAAAGAATAGAAAAGGGGCATACGAACAGCCACGTATGTCGAGAGATGAAACGAGAGGAAAACGAAGAATAAGGAATGGAATTTTTAAAAAAAAAAAAAATCGAGAGAAGAGTTTTATAAAGAGACAGAAATTTTATGAAACAAGAAAAATTCGTAGTGAAGCTTCCATTTGAGCTATGGAATTTACATTCTCTACGAATGATACTAAAAAAATGAGAGTAGCGGATGTATATTTTTATCTTTAACGTTTTGTTCAAAAAAAAAAAAAAAAGAAAGAAAGAAAGAAAGAAAAAAAAAGAAAAATAGAAAATGGAAATTTTCAAAAATTAAATACAAAAAAATGTCTATTATTATGCCTTACAGTTTATTTAAATTTAGTAAAAATATATTTTCTCTGATCCATTTATATTTTATTTAAATTAAATATATTATTTAATGTAATATTTTTTGCTCAAGATAAAAATAGAAATAATATTAAAATAATTGCAATATCTCTGTACGTATACATATATTTATTAACTCGTACATAACTCGAATCCATTTATTTTTCCGTAAATAAAATTTATTTTTATTCTCCTAATCGTTTTAATCCAATATCGTTCAACCGAAATACGCGAATGACTCAATATGATTTCATATACGTTGAATATGGAATAGAATTTAAAACGCTACATTTATTTTAAATCACTTGCCGGAATAATGGAAAAGTACAGTTTGTTTCAGGTTGTTATTCCAGTTGATTTTAGAGATTTTAAAGTGCATCGTTTAAACTGCAAAAGGTATGAATGGCAATCAAATTTCCAGAAATACTGACTGACCCACTTTTTCCTTAAAAATACGCACACCGTTAAAAAAACAACGATGCTAACTCAGCGTTTACTATCGAACAGAGTGAAAAACTTAGAGTTGGGAATTATTCTAAAAATTATTCTTAACAAGGGATTTAAATATTTATTCTTAAAAAAAATTTCATGTTAGAGAAGAGAACGTTTTCTTATGATACACAAAGAGAATACAACATGTTTAATGATTATTGAATAACGTAGAATCTTGATTAAAAGTTTAAACTTTTATGAACTTTTCGTTTTGTTTGTTTCAATTTTGCTTGATCTCAATTTTTTTTTTAAAGAAGACTCTCATGCATTTCTTTTATTTTATATTGAACGAATTTTTCTTATTCCATATAAAATTCTTTTTCTGATTCATTTCAACATTTTTAATTATTCAAAGAATAGTTCCAACCGATACAGGATAATTTAGATAAGGAAAAACAATTATATTTCGTTTTTATTATATTCGATAAATGTGAAACAAATAATTTTAAAATAGTTTTAAAATCTTGTTGAAGATCACTTTTATTAAATTACAAATTAACACGATTTAATAAATAATTTAACCAAAACGAAGCGAGATTGTTACAGCGAATTTATATTCGTTTTAGAATTTTCCTGCTAAACCTCTTCTGCCTTACCATTCAACAATTTCAACAATGTCTCGTAATAATTTTGAGACGCAACAAAATTGACAAAGCAACGAAGTGGGAATGACAGGTTGTAAAGGGGAAAAAATACGAGAAAACACGACTTCTTCTGTTCTTCTAAAAATATTTTTTTGTTACGTCCTCCTTTCATTTAACTTTCGATTATTATTATTATTATTATTATCGAGAGAACAACTTTACAAATACAAATGAAGCGTACTTAAAAAAAAGACGCACGCATTTCCCCTCCGCTTATTCCGTTTGCGAATAAATTGGTTTTCGTCTAAACGAATTAATTTCGCTCGATACGTCGCTCGTATCGCAAGCCTTTGGAATAATGGGCCGACATCTTTGGTAATTGAAAACTGGAAAAAGAATGAATAATAACACCGGGTTGGAACACGAGTCACGCAACAGGGCCCACCGCCAAAAGCACTTTCGAGCTCATGTTCATGGGACAAATTGGATTAGCGCACGCTTCAATTATGGCAAATCGCGTTACAACAGCGTTTCTTTTTTCCCCTCCCCCCCCGTTCGAGGCTCAATCGATGAAAATGCCGTGCCGTGCGTTTCCTCGATCCGGTTAAACGTGCTTAAACGTTCGAGTTAAACGCGCTTATTCTCGAATATATACACGCACACGATACACCCAGAGACACTTTTTAACATCGACGACGTTAAGAGAACTTTGGTTAACTTTTTCCTCGAACCTCGTCCCAGTGTTGAGCATTAATCTTCAAATTCGAACAAAGGGGAATCGCAAACAAGCCGGGGAGGGGTAGCGTAAGTAAGCATTTGCAACGGCGAAGCAGGAGCGCTTTGTTCACAAATATAGAAGACACGTTTACACCAGGACCTAATCGCAAACAACGATCCTCACCGGAATAAATAGGGATTGTTGATTTAGGGTCCTCGTGATTACGCGTTGCAACTGCAGAAATACGCGATTTCGATCGAGTTCGAAACGCATTAAAGAGGGGCCGCGTTTATACACGGGTTTGAACAACAGTTTCTCCGATACGATACGCAATTTAATTTAATCAATCCTCGAATTTTTTTAAAAGTCGAAAGACATACATTGCGTATCCAGAGATCGATTGTTTGGCTAAAAACGAGAATAAATTGTTATAAACAGGTTATCGTTTCGTTCGAAGGAAAGGATAAGTTGGATCGAGCGAAGGCGAGGAAGATGGAGGAGTCGTGTCGCGAGATGAAAATCGTGAAAAGACAAAAAATATCGTAAGTGAAGTACGATAATCTCTCTCGCTCGCAGATTTTGCAGATCTTGGAGAGAACTCGAAATGCGATTGAACAGTGGCTGGTAATGTGACCTGAAAATATACGCTGAACCAATAACGAGTTCAAAATATATATATATATAGTGAATGTTTTGTCTTTAAAAAAAAAAACTTTTTTGCATCAAAGAAGTTTTCTTTATTAATCCTCGTCTAATAAGTTTGAAACGAAAGTTCGAAATCTCGATTCGTCCCATTTCTTTGAGATTTTACTTTCCAAAGAGAAAAGGAGCCGAAAAAATATATGGTTACGATTTTGAAATTTTATCAGGGAACGCACAAAAAAATTAATATACTTTCGTTCGAATCGTTTCGAAAAACTTGTAATCCTGAAAAAATAAAAGGTTACACATTTTTGAAAGTAAATTCGATGAAATGCATTTTCGATTGTTTCTTCGATTGTTGCAAAGAAGCAAAGGGACGCAGCTTGTATATTTTTCCTACAAACGAGTTAAAGGGAATCGAACGAGAGAGGGAAAAAAAAATGTTAATTAAGAGAAGATTGGACGATCAAAGGCGATTTCTGAAAACTTGATCGTGCACGGAAGAAAGCGAAAAGAAAGAGAGAATAAGGGAGAATGTTGGCGCGGCGTAAAAAGCTGTGGTAATGTGCGAAGCTTGCGGCAACGCTCGAAGGCCAATTACACAAAGTACATTTTACAGCGTCGGGAGATAATCGTGTTAATTCGTAATTATCTCCCGACGAGTTCTTCGGTTTCTTTAATTTCCCCTTGTTTCTCGAAAAGGGAACAAACAGAGGAGGGAGAGAGGGAGGGATCGCTCCCTTCGACCCGCAAATTAACCCGCGAATCAGGGATTGATCGGACTCGTACCATCGATTAATTGGAAAACTTAGTTAGATCTGTGTTGCTGCAGTTATTGGCAGCCTATCTGCCAATTATCCCCGCCTAATATTTGTTTGAAGCAAATTCACAGTCGTACGAACGGCTAATCGTACGAAGATGACAACGATTCGCGTGATAAATAAGCGGGGCGCGACGCTTGCATAATAAACGCTTGTTTGATAAACGATGCAACGTTTGATTCTCGATCGATGTATTGTCATCGGTTACATTACATACATTACATAGGGGAAAAGGGAAATAAATTTAAATTGCATTTATATTTGGAAACGAATCGATATTTTCTTGATATTCGTGATTTTCTAGATCCATTATTTGGATTCTTCCATCCAATTGTAAAGAATAGCTTTCAATTGTATGTGCATTGTAAAACATCGATCTTACGAGTCTTCCGTTGAGAAACATGCAATTTTAAAGATTCATGTTCCTAAAGTGTATACTAGCCTTGTAAGAAACTCTTATTTATCGCGATATATATGTCGGATAGAGAGATTACAGGTTTTTGTAATTCCAACATGTTAAAGATATCATAATAAATCGCTTTCCACGTTAATTTCCGTATTTTTATTTGCAAAGATTAACCGATTTTTTTTAATAAAAAAATTAAAACATTACAAAAGTATTAACATACAGATCGTTAATGTATCGCATATATTCATGAGCGATTTTTAAAATATATTTTCCTAGAAATAAACGTATCCATCATTTTAAAATAATTGAAAAAAATCGATGAAACTCTATTAAAATTAGGGAAACTTTGAACCGCTATAACTCCGAAGATAGTAACTTATCGGTCGATAATTGAGAGATCGTTGGAAGCGCGAATCCTTGCCCTTTAAAACGCTTTTCGAATTATCCCGATACGATTTCCGGTTGCCGAGATATCGTCGTGTAAAGAAAAGGATAATTTTTAACTATTTACTATCTCCTTCCTTGTCGCTTTCTCGGATCTCTCGTTCGCACTCGTTTCACTTGTCTATTCGCAGACAGACGCAATTCCTAGAAATAGTACGCATTTCCAGGGAAAGATATAGGTCACCGGATCGCGAGTAATTTTCGTGTTAACGTGTTAAATATATGAAAAGTTTGAATGCTTATATCTCGGCAACCGATAGAGATATCGGGATAAATCAAAAATTGACTTCAATGACACGCTTTCCTTTATTTTCTTATCGGATTTAGATGGCGAGTACTCACCTCAAAACTGAGAATACCGCTATGATCCTGGTCCAAGGTGTTGAAAACGTAATGCGCGTACTGGCTAGTATTGGCTGGAAATTGAAATAAAGATAATAAATTTTAATAATATTCGCACTCGAAATTTGACAAGTTTCGTATGCTTATTGCTAAAAGAAATTATATAAGTAGATTCTCTCAGATGCTTATCTCTTTGCAGTACCGAAAAATGTTTCGAATGAAGGTTGAATGGTTTCAAGGGGGACGTAATTTGATGTTACCTAGTTTCTTTTTATAGATCGACGTAGAGGGCATATATAGGTCAAACTGATCTTTCCTGGCTGAAATTATATGGATATCGAATATTTTTTCAACACATTAATTGATCTAACATTCGCGAAAGAATAATATAAAAATAATTTTCAAAATATTCATTTTTATATCGATAGAATGGCATTGAAAAAATATACGTTTACTATAAAAATATTTTTCGAAACGTGTATTTTTTTTTTTTATCGGTAGAATAAAATTGCCCTTGAAGATATAAAAAAGTCATAAACCGTATAATAATAAAATAGTCACAAGATAAAAAATGTCTTCCTTAACGTACTTCTTCATTTTGACATAAAATATTTACAGTTTCTAGAACTAGTAGGATAGTTATTGATTATTATTCCTATTTGCATAAATGTTGGAAAATACGATACGGATAAAAATATCAAGAAAGAATTAAGAAACACGAATAACTTATTCATTAATATTTTTATCTTGCCTAGAATTGCATTCCCATAGATTTTCTTTTCAAAAGCCTTCGCCGAAATAATAAACCGAAAATAGAAGGATAATCTTAATAAGCACTTGAATTTCTCAGACAGAGAATACTGCTCGATGGCCCTTCTCGAGGAAACCTATCAAGACCATCAGATTTACCGTCGTTCGTGAATTCAAACTGGTATGCTCTAATAAGTTCCTACTAGTTTGACAAAGTTGAGATTTGTGCTTGGAAATTATTCCATTTCTTTTACACGAGATTTTGTTCATTTTATTAAAAAAAAAAAAAAAAGGATTGAAAGTCTTTTTTAAGCTAAACAAATGACGTATTTCACGGATACGTGAATATATATTATCGTTATCGTGAAAATGCCTCTTGATTTTCCTTAGAGGGATGTTATCAAGAAATTTAAGAAATGACAGCTCTGTCTCGTTCGAACAGAAATCTCTGAGGTATTTCTTCAATTGAAATGATTCATCCAGAAATTAGTACACGTTCCATCTACCGAATTATCACAATAGGAGTGCTCTTGTGTTATTAGGGAGGGGGGGAAGGATGGGCAAAGTGGATTAAGTCGTTCAAGTTGTCGAGCTTATGCGAATTAGGTCTTTGGAGGAAAATAGATGTGCTATTATTCGATGTTACGACAAAACTCGAATATAAAGCCATTTCCTTTGTCGAATATCAATAGGCAAGATTATAATTGCGGATTATTTTGATTATTTTATTTATTGATTATTTATTGATAAATTTTTTTTTTCTTGTTCGAACTTGGAAGATTTCTCAAGTTTTTTTTTTGTAAATTTATTACATATTGGTTTATAATCTTTTGTAAAGGTATTATATATATATATTTTTTTTTTTTTACGATATTTATGACTAGAAAGATTCTATTTTTAGAGTTTTCAATTTTTCAATTTCAGAAATTTGAAAACATTTAATGAATTTTTAATATCAAATTGAACCTAAACAATACGAATGTTATATTTGATATAATTTTCATTGCTTTTAATTTGAAAAATCAGACATTACGCACGAAATTCGTAAAAGAGAATTTTTATTTACACCGTGCAAAATATTTTTGTTTGCTTTTTGTATTTGCATTTGAGAAAAATATAAATTCATAAATAAATTTTCTATAAATATTTGCAATTTCTTTGTGTTCTCCATCGGATTCTATTATTGTTGAATAGATATAGTAAGCTATAGCGTTCCTTCTTTCTTTCTTTTTTTTTTTTAATTAAAACGATTGAATTTAAATAGTAATCAATAAAACTCATTTCTACATCCGTTATTATCGAAAAATAAATATTTCCGATAGGAGAAATGATTTTTTTTTTTTTTTTTTTTTTACTTTACTTTCAATCAATATTTACATTTTTGAGATAAGTTTCACTTTGTATGAAAATTCTTAGGACATTTTTCACTGGAAAGGGAATTCGATTGCAGAGAGAACGTTTGCGTTTGAAGGTGAAATGGTGATATTTTTATGGCGAAAGAGTCTTACTCGGCAACTGAATTTTTCCAAGGCAAAGTAACGGTATATATTAATGCGATGTATATTTCAACTTCTTTTTGAAAGAGTCCTTTATTTGTTATTTAAACAATTAGAAAAGAAAAATTAATTTTCAGAGAATTAATTTTTAAAGTTAGATATAAAAATATAAGAATATATTTTAACCAAATATTCATTGTTCGGTTGACGGTTCATTTTCGGTATAACAAATAGATTATACCATGACTATGTCATTATTCAACAAAATGGATGTTATCGCGTTGCTATAATTCACCTGTTCGACTTTTGACTATCGATCCAAAATTTTAAAGCATTCTCTTGTCGTTGAATAATCCATTGGACAGTTTCAAAGGTATAAATTTCATTCCGTTGTGCCACGAATTCATCGTAACAGTTTCGTTTACCTTCTCGAAATGCTTGAGGGGTTTTAGATAAGTACAAACATGTTTCCCTTTGATAAGAGTAACTAAAGGTAGACAGACGCTTTCGTCCTTTTGACCTTTGCACGTTTGCATATTTGTCAAAATCTTACGGCTTTTTACTTGCAATAACATTGCGCGTATATATAACAAAAAAATTGATATTATAAATATCAGTGACTTATTTATGCATGCAACCGCATTTACACTTCGTTGTTGTCATAATTTGGAATAAAATTATTCTTCTTATACTTTAACGAATAAAAACGAAACTAATCGTTTACAAGCAATAAATTGTAGAAAATGTTAGGGGGTTAACCTGTAACAGGTGAAACGTTACAGCTATTCAACACGCAACTTGATTGTATGACACGAGCACGAATGGAACGGTAAATTTTCTTGAATTGAACGTTGAATAGTAAAATTAACTGAAAATGTATGGGTTATACGCGAATGATAATCTGTCATCCATCATTCATTAAAATTTAATTCGACGTGTAACTGAACAAAAGATACATTTTTGAAGCTTGCTTATACAATTTATTTCATTCTTTCTTCGTTCTCTCTGAAAGGAGAATAAAAAAAATTTTTTTCTCGCAAATTTATCTACACCATTCCAAGCTAAAGTCTCCCAAATGCACTCAAATACTTTTAAATTTTTAATTAAGAAAGTTATTTTCTCGTAGTGAGAGTAAAGTTTTTTTTTTTTTTTTTCATAAATAAAGTTGAAGGTTTAAAGCTTACATAAATTATTGTGCATCGTGCATATTGGATTACGTTGAACAAATAGGATTTACAATTTTTTCTTTTTTTTTTTTTTTTCTTTCCCTCCTCGATTTTGAGCCTCGTAAATTCTTCTCCGTTCTTCTCCCCTTACATCGAGCGACAAACAAGCGACGGTATCGGTGCGACGCGCACACCTCTTAGCCGTGAAATCGTTCGCGAAGAAAAATTGTCACTGTCACCGAAGGGAATCGAAGGGCGCCTTCCGTATGCGCGACTGCGGGTAAAGTTAGTACGATGTTCGTTGCCAAGAAAATTATTTTAATCGATACACGCCAACGAGATTCGGCGTATGAACTATATATAGCATTGCAAAAATTTTATTTTCCAAAGAATTATTCTAAAACGAGAATCATTCCAGAGAAATCTTAATTATCTTTAGATTTGAATTTGTTATCTCGAATGAATTGAATCGAAATATCCTCATTGTTTTTCATAAAATTAAAATACGAAGCGTCAAAAATTCGTCAAAAAAATACGGATTAGTTATTATTTTTTCTTTTTTCCTGCAATGACCAACGTGCGTGTTAATTAAATCGAAGGTAATTGATCAAAAATTGCAGTGACATTTTTAGGATTTCATGGCTTCTTTTTTTTTTTTTTTTTTTTTTT